GGGTTCAGGGTTCAGGGTTTTAGAGCTCTGCCAAACTATGGCCTACTTGCAAAACCCCACTGATCCTTCGCGTAACCCTTCAGTCTTCTACAGTCCTTATAATTTTGTGGGTAGTTGACAAAGCTAGGGTCCCTTTTGGAGTCCTTTCTTTAAGGGTGCCATACTAGATTGGGAACTTAAAATGGGACTCTAATTTAGAGAACTGCATATAACCCTGTCGCAAAAGGCGAACCCGTTACCCGCTCTCGCAAGCCAGGGTTTAGGGTTCAGGGTTCAGGGTTTAGGGTTTAGGGCTTCAGGGTCAAAGCTTTTTGAAGTCGTGATATTCGGACCCGGGGTGCATGGGGCTAGGTTTCGTACGGCCTCACCCTAAGCCCGAAAAGCCTGGACTAAACCCAGGGTCATGACATAATTCTTTGGGGTTTACCCGGGTCCCTGAATGAGCTCAGACGGATCCTAGGGTGTAGGCTGAGACTTTTGAAAATTCTGGCTTTGCTGCGCTTAGGGTTTACTGAAGGCCTTTAGGTTATGAGAGAAGGCTCATATATCATAGCCCCATTGGAGCCTGTCTGCAACCCGGCAAACCATCTAAGGGAAGGAACCCTGACAAGCTCTTATAATCGAGAAAACCTAGTCTAAGTAGTAAGGCCCCTGTACTGGATGCCTTCTCAGGCACTTTCCGCAGAGTCGGACGAGGATGCCGATGTCGATATGCCACCAGCGCAGCCGGCACCCTAAGCCCTGGAGTAACAGGCCTTTAAGCTTTTGGGTATGGGCCCTTTCTTGAAAGGTCCTGGATCGGTTTGTAGGGCCAAGGCTTTTTGACTTCCGGCCGAGCGGTGGAGATGGTTTCAGGTTCCAGAAAGATAAGCCACCCTAAACCCTAAACCGCCAGCCACAAGATCATAAATGTACCCCGACAAGGGAGACAAGGGACCCAGACCTTCCAATATGCCTTACTTAGAGAGTATAACTTAGATCATATTCGGGGTACTACCGTGATTTAAAGTATACCCTTACTCGGATTCAGGCATTTTCGATGGTGTCGCCAGCATCGCAGTGGTTTGGCTCCGACCCCGACCTAAGCAGCAAAGCCATGGACCGGCGAACGCTCATGGACGCAAGGGCGGAGGCCGACCCCGGCTTAGGGTTAGGATTTAGGGCTTTGGGTTTATATGGGTTTAGGGTTTAGCGATTAATTAGGGTCAAGTTTTGGGCTTAGAATTGGGTTTAGGGTCAGGGTCGACTAGTATTTAGCTTGAAACTTGAACCTCCAAGGCTAAACCCCAACCTGACCTTCAAACCTAAACCCCCAAACCCTCAACCCGACAGCTAAACCTCAAGGCCTTCACGCTGACACCTAAACCCAATGATTCAAAATATTGTTCCTCATAGGGCTCCTGATTGTAATGAACCTATAGATCAGCCCCAAACTCTAAACCCTAACTTAAACCCTAGCCCTAAACCCTAAACCCTAAACCCTAAACCCTAAACCCCAGAGCCCAAATCACGGTTCGAGTTATCAACGTATGTCGGCCTCGCCCCTGTAACGGTGGAGCATTCAGGGCCAAGTCTTCGTGTTCAGGGTTTGAGTTTAGGGGTTTAGGGTTTAGGGTTTAGGGTTTAGGGTTCAGGGTTTGGGTTTAGGGATTTAGATGGGTTTAGAGTTTAGGGAATTCGTGTTTAGGGTTTACTGGTTTAAGCTTCACGTTATGTGGGGTTCCTAAGGGTGCAAGCTCTTAGGAATCATGCTATTTATTGTGCAATAATAAGGCTCCAAGGGATTGTTGAATAATTGTTCTTTGGTTATGGCTCTACGGGCGCTCCATAAGGTACTTGTAGTGTAGGCCGCTTGCTTTTGCAGGAGTATCTGACCATGGGCACTTGAACCCGTAGGGGTTGTTAGGCTTCCCAAACCTTAAACCTCACTCACTCCGTCACGTGTGTCCGTGCGGTCTCTAGACCCCCGCAAACCCTAAATCTTTAAGCTCTCTCATAACCGCAGGCATAACCTTACCAACTCCTGTATGATCCTCTAATGTCCAACTATATCCGGAGTTTTATATTAGGTCTTTGCTGGTGGGTTTTTGGACTCTAGTCGGGGCCTGCTTTCGGCATGAGTTTAGTATAAAGTTGTCCCGCAGGCTCTTGGTGCCTTTGTTCAGGGTTCAGGGATGTTTAGGGTTCGGTTTCTGTCGCTAGGATCTCTAAAAGATATTGCTTGCCTACCAACTAGGGAATAGATATTACCACTACAAGTTCACTACAAGCATGAAAGTCAGAGCCTCATTATTTCAGTAGTTCATGCTTTTCATCATTATCTAGCTTTGCTGCATTTATTTGTTGCTATTGGTCTTACATGGTTTTGTTGAGTAGAACATCTAGCCAGTATTATGATTATTACCAGTTACGTTGAATACTGTACGTAGTGTGTCGGTGGGCGAACCAACCTCATGAGGTTCGTTGTGTTCCCAAGGGTGCTTACGGGAACCACTCTTCGAACTCCCTAGCCGCGCCGGTGTCGTTGGTTTGAGAGCGTATGTCTTTTGTTTGGTTTCTCTTGGGCTCTGTTGTGCTTCATCGAGGCTTCAATGGGGTTGCTGCAGGATCGTTTTAGCCAGGATTTCTACTTAAGTTAGTCACACGTGTTTTGCAGGGTGCGTGGGCCTTTTAAAAGAGTGCACGTCACCGAATTATTCGGGATGTAATGCTTAGAGGAGCATGTGGCCTCACATCGACCCTTGAAGGAGCCTGAATAGGAGACCGTGAACCTTAGCACCTAAATCCTGGAACCGTAAATCCCTATGACTCTAGAACCTGCCGGGGTTTAGAGCTCTATGATTAAGAAACCGTGGAAGTAACTCAGGCGGCCTCGATTTACTCTGACCCCAAACCCTAAGCCCCAAACCTCACAAGCCTCAGACCCAAAACCCCGAAACCCTACTCTAAACCCGAGAAGGCGCCTTTGAATACATATACATATACATATATATATATATATGTACAGATTTTGCAACGCTTTCTGTATGTGTATATATTTCTATATTACTATTACTATTACTATTACTATTACTATTGCTATTACTATTACTATTACTATTACTATTACCATTACTATTACTATTGCTATTACTATTACGGAATGAGGTCCCAAGAGACCATCCTTGGTATGGTTTGGGGGATCTCATGCCATAATGGTAGTATACATGGACCCTCTTGGATAGGCTCTCCTTTACTCAAACCCGAAGCCCCAAAAACCCCCAAAACCTAAAACCCCTAAACCGCCAAACCATACCCCAAACCCCGAAAGAAACCCAAAAAGGCGCCTTTGAAGGGAGCCAGAAGCCCTAAACCCCAAAACCCTAACCCTAAACCCTAAACCCCAAACCCTAAACCCTAAACCCTAAACCCTAAATCCTAAACCCTAAACCCCAAACCCGTGCCTCTTCAGGATCACTCCGAGAGCCCCCGCGGTCGCGAACGCACGCTGCCACTTCCGGCGAGAGCGAGACGAACGCTGGAGGATGGTTTAGGGTTTGGGATTTAGGAGCCTGGGTTCTTACGTTTCAATTTATGGGTAATAAAAAGTGCCTGAAAAACATTTATACAATTTTGGGGGGGTTCCTTATTAGAAATAACTACAGTGCAGCGTACCCCAAAACCCTATTCTTATTGTTAAGGCTCCTATATTCATTCTCTAAATGAGGGTCCCTTTTAGGGTCCTCGTATCAAGGGTGCCTTACTACTTTGGGGACCTAAAAAGGGATCCTGATTCAGAGAACTACTCATATCTTGCCATGAAACTCAGGGTTTAGGGTTTAGGGGGCTTAGGGCTTAACCGTTAAACCACTAAAAAAAAAAAGAAACCGCTAGTACCCAAAACCGCAGGCGTGCAAAGCCTTCAAAGACTTCTCATTATAGAGCCTGTATCGACGTTAAGGAACCCTTTATAGGATCTCTATTCGACGAGGTTCCCGAGTAGTGCTCTTTTGCCTTTGTTTTGGGGGTCTCCCTATTCAAGGCGAATACTAGGAAAAAGGGTACCATTATTATTAAGGGCCTGCTGAGGAACTGAAATTATGTTTCGTTATATTATTGTAGGTTATTGCGCTTTTTATGCTGCATTATATTACAGTTTCATGATGGGACCATCTTATTACAGGTTGCTCTAGTGGTATATGACAGTTTCACCTAGTATGTCATCTATAGTATACCATAATCTATAGTCCATTATGGATCCATGTGGACTCCCTGTAAGGGTATGTAGGGCAAGTTTAGGATCCTGGATTCCTTTTAAGGGGTTTTGGCTTTAGGCTTGAGGGCTCCGTCTAAGGGTCTTGGGTTGAGGGTTTGTTTTGTTCAGGGGTTTAGAGCTTGGGGTTTTCGTTTCCCTTCAAAGGGGTTTAGGGATGAGGATGCCTGTTAAGGATTCAGGGTTTAGGGTTCCTTTGAAGGGCTTAGGGTTGCTTCTAAGGGGGCTGCTACGTAAGGTTCAATGCTTCTTTGTGGGATCCTTCAAGACTTCCTCTACGACTTCCCTTAAGGCTTATAGGAAGGTGCTATCATTGCTTGGAGCCTAAACCCAGGCCTTTCCAGGATTCTAGGAGAGTACTATCAGTGGATTTAGGGTTAAACCTTAAACCCTAAACCCTAACCTAAACCCTAAACCCTAAACCTTAATCCCTAAACCCTAAACCCTAAACCCTAAACCTTAAGCCTTAAACCCTAAACCCTAGCCTAAACCCTAAACCTTAAACCCTAAACCCTAGCCTAAACCCTAAACCCTAAACCTTAAACCCTAAACCCTAAACCCTAAACCCTAAACCTTAAACCCTAAACCGTAGCCTAAACCCTAAACCCTAAACCTTAAACCCGTTGTAATATGCTATATGGCAGCCCCAGGATGGAACCCTGAAGAAAACATGGCGTTTCGTTTTTGTTTCGCCAGGGGCTGATACAGGGGCCTCAATTAAGTGATTATTAATATTGCTTTGGGGGATTCCTTATAGAGCTTTGCTATAATATACCCCGAAACCCTGTTCTGATTATTAAGGCCCCTACATCAGTCTAGCAATGGTGAGGGTTCAGGGTTTGGTAGGGTTTCAAGGCAGGCAGTTTTGGGTCTCCCGGTTCTGGAGCTAAGGACATTTAGGGTTTGGGGCTTAGGGCTTTAAGGGTTCGCGGTTTAGGGTTCAGGGTTTAGGGCTTTGGGGTTTAGGGTTTAGGGGTCCAGGGTTTAGGGACGCTTGAAGCTTGATTTGCTGGGACCAGTCAAAACCGATGCAATCAATGCGCAGGGAGCATGTGGAGCCGAAGGAACCCGAAACCTTTAAGCCTCGCCCTGTTAGCAGCTTTTCAGTACTCCAGCATATGTTTGTTTTTGGCTAGGGGGGTAAATAGGCTGCTTGCAACCTTGTGTACACACTGCAGTACTTTGTTTGCCTGCTCTTCAAGTAAGCCCCTAGGCCCTAGACCTCAAACCCCAAACCCAAAGTGGAGTGGGCAGTGGCAGAGCCGCGCAGCATGCCCAAAATGGAACGAACGAGTCTCGGGTTTCTTGGACAGGCTTCCGGTTTCCCTAAGGGCCTTTAGGGTTCAGAGTTTAGGGTTTTGGGTTTTGTGGATAGTAGTTTTGAGGTTAGCATTTCCGCGAGTATATGATTTGTAGGTACTTGGACCCTGAGGATTCATGCCTGCCTGATCTGGAATGAGTTTCCTTCGCCAT